ACAATCAAGACGCACTCGACAAATCTATCGTCAGTTGCTATTGTCTGTAAGTGATATCTTTCTGTAATTTAAGTCTCAAGCTAGCTGTAGTGATCCTTTTGATCAATCATTACCTGTAATTATCCTCATTATATTCTTTTCTGTGGTATTATGCAGGATGAAGATGTATGAAATGAGAAAAGGTGGACGCTATGGCATTGGGTTCATTGACCCAAACACCGTTAATGAATACACATGGAAAATAAACAAGCATCATGAAAAGCAGGTAGAGGACAGCATGCTAGAGTTCTTGAAGCGCCTCAAATACAATGAAGATATACTACTTCCTTACAACTTCCAGTGAGTCACACTTTCTTCTACTATAAATTCTCTGTTTTTTGCCTACTAGCTAGCTACATGTTTTTGCTTACATATGCCCGCTTAATTAAGACATGCAAACGTGTGTGCATGCAGATTTCACTGGATCTTGTGTATCATTAAAGTTGACTCCGGAACAGTTGAAATACTGGACTCACTATTCAAAGCAAATAGTGACTATAACATCTTGTTTGGGATAGTCAACAGGTAATTTCAATCATTATTAATTATATATCTTGGCCTATTTAGTTCGTCATTTCATGATATGAACTATTTAATAACCCCTTTATTCATTTTCTTTGTCGGCGGGCAGGGCTTGGGAAGGTTCATCAGCGTCACGGAAGGCGAATGGAAACGACAGCTGAAATGGTTTCGACCCAAGGTAAGTAATTAAGTAGTACTAGCTAGTTAGCTAGCTGCCATCTCTTTAGTTATCATGCTTGATTAATTATTATCTAATCAAATTAAATTTCATTCTCGTAATAAAGGCCCTGAAGCAGGCGCAGGGGACTAATCTGTGTGCATTCTGCGTTTGCGAGAATATTCGCATGATGGCGTTCGAAAGGAGCAGATCTCAAAGACAAAAATGGGTACGCTTGTCAGAACACTATTCACAATTTTTACACCATTATCGATATCTAGTCACACAACTAATACACATGCATATTGATCTCCTTAACAGTTCACAGAGGTGCGGGACAAACTCCTAAAAACGGAGCGCGTAGAAGCACTTCAAGAGGAAATAGCAGGATTTTTGCTCGACCATGTCATAAATCCGAAGGGAGAATACTATTACCCGCTACCGGCCCCATCGACCAGGTCATGAACCACTTCCAATTGTCATCGTGCTCCGAAGGCACCAATTAGGCTAATGCCACTGGCTCCGAAGGCAACATGCATATGTAGGAGAAATTGTATATAGCTATACATATGTGTATGTGTCAATTAATATGGTGGTTTGTGAGACATTGATGATATATATATGATTGGTTCTACTAGAAATTCTATATATATATATATATATATATATATATATATATATATATATATATGCATAACGTGTACAATGTGTAGTATCGTAAAATACCAGCAAACGAAAAAGAATTAAAATGGAAAACACAAAATTAAATGAAAAAGAAATCATAAAACCAAAATCCCCCCAAACATTTTAGTACCGGTTGGTGTAGGGCTCCCGGCCCCCGGAGCTGGCTCGTGCCACGTGGTTGCCCTTTAGCATCGGTTCGTGCTGAACCGGTACTAAAGGGGGGGGGGCTTTAGTACCCATATTTTAGTGCCGGTTATGTAACCGGCACTAAAAGGCCTTACGAACCGGTGTTATTGCCCGGTTCTGCACTAGTGTCAGTTGCTTCCGACGCGACTCCTTATCCTCCCCTTCCCACGATGGACCGCCCATTCCCAATGGGACTTATACTCTACCCGATCGGTGATAGGGGAAGGAGAGGCGTTCCGGCTGCCGGGACCGCGAGGATCCAGCACCAGAGGACCCGAGCGTCCGGTGAACCGACGCTATGGAGTCGTGGCGGGCAAATCCGTCCGTCGGCCGGGCGCTGTCCTCCCGGGAGCGGCGGAGTGCAATGCGGACTGTCATTGCCTCCTCATACCCGCACGAGATGACACTCTAGTAGACGCTCCGGAGTGGTCGAAGTCCGATCCGCTGCCTGCCATGTCGGAGAAGATCAGAAACCGCCAAGGTGAATTCAAGTGGCGGAGAGTAAAATGAACTGACTAGGGTTTGCTCCGGCGAGCAGAACGGGACGAATATATCGCACATGAACCTAAAAATTGAAGTTACAAACGGTCCCTCCCCGGCGGCCGGCACAATTTTTCCGGGCCAGTCCGATCGCGACGTCGTCCAAATTTGTTCGCATATCCTCGTCACCTCGCTAGGGATGCTAGCTAGGCTTGGCGACTCACCGGGAGCTAGCCGCCGTACGCATGACTCGTCACGGGCGTGGGGCAACATGTCACACGGTCGACGTCGTCGAGTTAAGGGCTCGATGCGCAATCCGTTCACACTCTCTCTCACTCACACGTTGTTGTTGCGTCATCGACAAGATCGCGCGTCGGGCGCAAGGCCGGCCACGTATGTACGTGCGGCACCCTTAATTAGTTGATCAGCATCTGGTGTAAATCTGGATCGACGTTGAGGTACTTCTTGGTGTGGTCTGTGTACTACGCAAGATTCTAGCCTCTAGCTAGGAAGGATTCTAGAGAACACAGCTAGCTAGGGATGGTCATGATGTTACATGGGCAGGTCGCCAGAGGGGCTTAATCATTTTTTTTCTTACTGTGGACATGATGTAGGTGACTCGTCGAGACAAAATTTCATGTTTTGACTTTTTTTAACCTATTTGAGATCTGATCCTAGGTTGAAATAATTTCGAGAACTGACCCTTTTGTTACCGCCAGAGTCCATGGCGGTAGTGTCTAACAGCCTACCGCCAGAGACTTTGGCCGTAAGAAACATCGCAACCGCCAAACGGGCTGGCGGTAGCCTGCACAACCCTACCGCCAAGGTGCTTGACGGTAGGCATGAGTACGCACTGTGTTCAATACTTAAGAGATTTTTGGCGGTAGGGCATGCAACCCTACCGCCAGGGTCCTTGGCGGTAGGCTATTATACCCTACCGTCATGGTCCCTTACTATAGCAAAAGGGTCAGATATCGAAAAAAAATTAAACTAGGGTCAGATCACGAATAGGTTTAGAAAAAAGGTCAAAACACGAAATTTAGCCTCTCAAAGATGTTCTTGTTAATTAATTTATGATTTGGAAAAGGGAGTAACTCTCTGCTCCGTACCGAAGCCTCTGCGTCACCAGATTTCCAGTTTCAACCTTGTTGTCGCAGTAGTCCACTTGCTCCCCTCAGCAGCTGTGTGTTGTACAGGATTAGACGTTGAGTTTGACTGGTCCTAGTTTCTAGGAGTAGTTTCCTGACCAGACGTTGACTTTGACTGTGAGTTGTACCCAAGCCTGCCGAAGTACTAGAGCTGTAGTCAAAATATAGTCCAATCTATAGACTCTAGAGCTGCGTAGTTTCTAGGAGTAGTTTCCTGACAAGAGGTGCATCTTCAGCCAAAGATGTGGTCTTCGGACGGCCTTGTTTTTCTTCACCGCGAACTGTGGATTGGTTGATCCGATCCCGACGGCACGTACGCCCGTGATTCGCATTGCTTCCATTAATTGGCACCAAAGTCAATACTGTACGTACAATCCAAAGAAAAACATGGCGCGTGTGTGCTATCACCGGATGCACAGGTTTATGCCTCTTTTGGTTCATAGGATGGGATTATCGTAGGAATAGAAATTTTGTAAGAAATGAGATGACATGTATCTCAGATTCTATGAGTAAGAATAGAAAACGAGATGTCATTTGGTTGACACCAAAGAAATTTTTTCATTGACTCTAGGCACAATTTTTATTTTCCTATGAATGTGGAGGATAGGAACCAATTCTATGTAGGAATAGGAATCTATTCCTATGAACCAAAGGGCTCTAAAGAAAAAAAAATTATAAAAATCCTATCCTTTAAATTTTTTATAAAATTCCTTCAAACCAAAGGAGGCCTAATCTCCTTTTCAAAAAAAATTGCAGGGGAAAGTTTTGGGCCACGCAAAAACTTGCGAACCCAACAGACATGTTGCAGACTGCTCAACCAGAAGTAACCATCGATCAACAGCAACCGTACTTACTTATCTTGCAATTTCTTCTTTCTTAATGAGGTAAAAACACCTCAGGTACCCTAACTTGCAGAGATGTGATGATTTAGTCCTAAATTTGCAAAATGCAACTCTACCATACCCTAACTTGCGCTGGATGTGACGATTTGGTCATGGGCCTATCACAGCACGACAAGTGGCAGCTAGGTGGGTGGACCGGTCTTCGCCTGCACTTTTGCAAAAAACACCCTGCCATCTTGTCTATACCCCGCGCTACATGGTGAACGATCAGTGTTCGGTGGTGTTGGACTGAAATTTTCAACATCGATCCTTTCGATGGGAGCACGGCTTCAGTAGCACCTCCCATGCAAATTCTAGCAGCAGCCAAGGGAGAGCTGCGCAGGGGGAGTTGCGCAGGAAGCTGAAGGCGCGGGAGACCGAGGCGGACGCGCTGCGCGCGGAGCTGCGCAAGGCCAAGTCGAGCTCGACGAGACGACCAAGGCGGCGGCGGTGCGGGAGGAGCTGTGCAGGAAAATGAAGGCGCGGGAGCGCGACACCGCCGAGGCGGACGCGCTGCGGGCGGAGCTACTCAAGGCCAAGGCCGTGCTCGCCGAGACCAAGGCGGGCGCGGGGATTGTGGCGGCGGCGGCGCGTGGGCTCCGGGAGGAGTTGGATAAGAAAGTTACAAACCTAGAGAAACGGTACTAGTTTTCTTCCGCGCCTTCGAGCTCCTCGTCGCCGACGAGCGCTTGCGCATCCAGATTTACTCTTCCAGGGAGGGCCGCTGGGGCCCGTCTGCGCGGCACTCCCTCGCCGTCAGTCTAGGCCGTTCCACGACTCCTACCCCCTGGTCATCGGCCGCACCGTCCACTGGCTGTGCAACACTGCAACCTGGAGCCGCTGCCGCCCGGGAGGCACCTGTCTAGCCTGGAGCCGTACATCGTCGTTGTGGACGTCGACACCATGGAGGCCACCGTGATTGATCTGCCGCGGTGCTGCACTAGCAGAATGACTGCCTCTATGAGCCACCGGGGCCTCCTCCTGGCCGCTTCGGTGGACGGGAGGCTCAAGGTTGTGGTCTCGGAGACCCAGGTTATATCAATGTGGACCATGTTACCACCCATCGAGGGGGAGCCGAGCTCGCCGCCGAGATGGATCCGGCAGGTGCTGATAGACAAGCAGGACTGGGGCGTGCACAACTCAGTTCAGTTTGAAGGGTTCGGGCTGAGGAGTGGCACTGTCATCTTATATGTCGGTAGAGTTGGCCTCATTCGCCTCAACCTTGCCACAAAAGAGGTGGTTGTCGTCTACCACCGCAGCGATACGGCCTACATCTCGCAGGTTTGCCTGCACTAGATGGATTTGTCCTCTCTGCTCCAGACCATGAAGCCTCTGAGCTAGCTGCTTCTTATAAATCAGTTTTGGGAATGTTCTTCAGTCAAGTTCTTGTTCTACTGCTTTGTTTGCTTAGAGCAACTGTTTTAGCTCTAAGCAGTCGTGCTCCTTGGCCAATACTAGTTGTAAAAGGAATTGAGTCACTCCTAAGTTTGTTAAGTCTTGTCGCTTCTCGTTATGCTGTTAGTGTTTGCCGGCAATCTGTCGTTCATCCTGTAAAATAACGGATTGTATGGTTCATTATGTATTTCAGCCAGTTGTCAAAGGTGAAATAAAATCCGTTTGCCTTATTGATTCGATGCTCACTTTGCCACTACAGCCTTGGCTGCCAGAATTTGCGCGGGAAAGTATATGTGCTACTGAAGCTGATGGTCGAAAGGATCAATGCTGAAATTTCTAGTACGACCCACAAGGCCACAAAGATGGCCGGTTCATCGTAGAAGCAAAAGGTAAGCTGCTAAGCTCAATATGTTCTTCCAATCTGATTGTGTTCTCACTGCTGAACTGCCATGGTCTAACAAATCGTGTTTTTCATGCTCCATTTTTTATCATCTTTGTTAGTGTACTGATCATTATAGTTTTGCACAAAACAATTCCCATTCCATTCAGTTGAAATTGTCATTTACCTGCTGCATGCAAAAACTAGGGGAAATGATTAAATTACAGTTGTGATATTTCCGTGACATTATAGTTTCTGCGTATATCAAATTTATCTATACTATTAAAAATACAGAATTACATAGCTATGTTTGAGTTCCAGTTGCAGTTCCAGTTAGTGACACTATTTCTTGAGAACCATTTACTTCTAGTTGCAAGGGAATAAAACAGATCGTGGTGTGCACTTCTTTTTATTTTGTACTGGTATAGCTGAATTAGTTAATTCTACAAACAGTTGAAATGTTAAATACATAAATATTGCAATGTATATTTTTTGGAGAAACTTACATTATATGAGCTCTTCAGGTGCACTGGCTCATCACTTGAATGTTATCATGCACTAGAGATGGTTGAAGTTACAGACACATGTTTGCTAAATTACGGAGTGAATAGTCCTTGTACAACTCGGAAATCATGCAGCAGGCAGTTAACTCAGGAACCATGTGGAGTACGTTGCCACTTGCAATTACCTGTAGATAAATATATTGGCATGGTGCACACTAAAGCTTTCAGTGCTAATTTTCATCCAGTATTGTTTTGTGCAAACTTTAGTGTTTATAGCAAATTAGCATTTGTCCAATTGTTTATAGCATGGGGATCGGCAGTGACGGTACTGTCACCGGCGTCGGCAAGTACCTCAAGGAGAAGAATCCCAATGCGAAGATCTATGGAGTTGAACCTGCCGCCCAAGCAAATATTCTGAATGGTGGCAAGCCAAGTAGCCTATCGGGCTTTCCGTAAATGATGTAGTCTTCTTCTTTTAGTTTCTATATACTCATGCTGCTAACTGAACCAATCTGCAGGGCCTCACCTAATCACTGCAAATGGAGTGGGACTCAAGCCGGACATTTTGGACATGGGCATAATGGAGAAGGTTCTTGAGCTAAAGAATCAAATCAAACTGGACTTATGTTCTTTTCATAGAATAGATTCTGTAGTTCTTGATGCCCATTTGCACGGGAGGTGCTACTGATGGTGCTCCCATCCAAAGGATCAATGTTGAAATTTTCAGTCCAACCACCAAACACTATGGTTCACCATGTAGCGCGGGTTAATTAGACAAAATGGCAGGGTGTTTTTTGCAAAAGTGCAGGCAAAGACCGATCCACCCATCTGGCTGCCACATGTCGCGTTGGGATAGGCCCAGGATCAAATCATCACATCCAGTGCAAGTTGGGGTATGGTGGAGTTGCATTTTGCAAGTTTGAGACTAAATCATCACATTCTCTACAAGTTAGGATACCTAGGGTGCTTTTACCTCCTTCTTAATTAACACGCAGTTCAGACAGTTCTGTGGTGAAGTACTACTCAGACAGGAGACTTATTAGCGAGGAAGGAGACTTCAACCGCTTGGCTCGAGTTTGGTGTGGGAAATGCACTGCCCGATGCTTATTAACGAGAAAGACGTTCAGGCGCCATCGTGAGTTGAATCTTTGGACAGCGTAACACGTACTACTAATCGTGATAGATTTCCCCCGGATCGAACTGAATTCCAAAGTCTCGTGGAAGCTACGCAAGAAAACAGTCACCGCGCGTCAATCAGTCCCGACAGGTTCTATGCGCTTGGTGTCTTAGCAGCGAAGGAAATAATTAACTACATATATATTCGTTATTAGGCGGAAAGAAGATCCGAGAAGTTTTTTCATATCAGTTGCCAAATCATCAACCAGCAAAACTAGTAAGAATATAGATAAAATTCATCGGCTTGCACTTGCACAAGTAAGGGATTTATGGTTTGAGAGTCACTTCACGGGAATCATAGTGCAGTCACAAGGGTGGGCAGGCGCTATACCTTTCTGCTCCTTATATTTTTGTTTATTTTCAATTCATTATTTTTCGTTCTTCACTTGTTCCCGATTCGCTTTATTTCTGCCTCTTTACTTATCATTGTTGTTGTTTTTTGAGATAGCTTACCAGGCTTGCCGCCTGGTGCCTCTTTATTTGATATATGCGTTTTTCACTCCAACTTTGTTCTTTTTTGTTTTGTTACTCTTTTCATCTAATTGTTTATTTTTATTTTCTTTTTTTGTTTCCTTTATTGCCAATACATGACTTTTAATTAAAATAAATGAATGTTTTTTCATTCGTATGATTTTTATATAACACTAGTAAATGCGTACATGCAATGCACATTGACATTAGGGAGTAAATTAATTGCATGTTGGTATAAGATGGTATATCAATTCCGTGTTAATTATGTTGAGCGCTCGCCATTGGAGGCTTGGAGAAATCTAGATCATTGGATTAGCATGGTTTGATGCCACAGATTAATTAGGTCAGCCCCTTTGGGACCATTTATGGTATATAGATGAAAAATATTTTTACAATACATGAGCATGTGAAAAAAAAGCAAGATCATATGATTGATATATGGATTCAATTAAAGACTTATCCGGATTATTTCCTTGGGTAGGAATTTGAGTCTGGCGGTCGAAATTGGTAATCTAGAAATGTCATTTGAATGTTGCCACTCTACACTTCATTGTATGCAAATACAATCAGTGGCGGAGCCAGAGTTGGAGCAAACTCCAAACCAATTTTTTTATCCTTTAACTACATGAATAGTTATTAAAAATTATGAACATATTTTAAAATTCAAGATTATTTTTTGAAATAAAAAATTCATTTTCAAAATACAATAATATTTTTAAATATGAGTTTCTTAAAAATGGCAGAAAAGATTATGGAACATTTTTAAATTTATATTTCTTAAAAATTTCAAAGATTATAGAACATTTTTAATTTGTATTTTTCGAAAATCCATGATTTTATAAATTGTAAACATTTTTAAAAAGAACATATTCTTACACTTACGGATAGTTTTTTAATTCAAGATCTTTTATGAAAATTCATAAAATTTATTTAATTCCTGAAAAGAAAATCCTATATTTTTATCTTGCAGTTACATATTTTTTAAACCTATGGATATAAACAAGTAACCTATTATTAGGAGTAAAACTGACAGAAAACCCGAAAAAAAGAAAGAAAATTGGGAGCGATTTGGGCCACATGGCTCTAGACGCAAACCATCCATGTGCATCTTGCGTTTCTAATAAATAAATAAATAAATCCATGTGCATCTTTCCAACAATACGTCGAGTGTATATATGAGGACTCAGATGCCATATTGCAAAAAATCGAAGCAACAAGCTGCTATGCGACACTATGTGTCTCAAAATAACAGGATGCCGAGAGTTGGTTTTCTAGTGTTTTTGTATGGTGTTTTTGGTTTTGCAGGTTTTCACCTTTTCCCATGAAAACATAAATATTTATTCATTTTAAAACTAAAAAAATACAAAATTGTCCACATTTCGTAAAAGAAATTTGTAAAGTGAGCCTCTAATTAACTCTCTGCGCCGTACCAAAGCCTCTGCGTCACCAGATTTCCAATTTCAACCTTGTTGTCAGCAGCTGGGCGACGTGTCTGCTGAAGTACTAGAGCTGCAGTCAAAATATAGTCCAATCTATGGACGCTAGAGTAGAACTTTCCTAACCACACGTGCATCTTCAGCCAAAGACGTGGTCTTAAGACGCCCCCGTTTCTCTCCCCCGCGAACTGTGGATTGGTTGATCCGATCCCGACGGCACGTACGCGCGTGATTCACCTCGCTCCCATTGCCACCAAAGTTAATACTGTATGTACAATCCAAAGAAAGAGAGGCGGTGGCCTTGCAAGTGAGGGTGAGGCCGGACCTCGAATGAAGCG